AAAGATCTTTTATAGAAGACTTCATCAACAAGTGTGTACCGAGATGCTTTCTTCCTTAACCTCATCTCTTCTTGCTTATCTCTAAGCACTGATCCATCTCGTAAGAAAGAGACAATTGGGTCTGTCCAGCTTGGTGTGTTTGGATCTGTGCTGATCTCCATCATCTTTGGCTTTTGAAAGCTAGGCTCATCTAGACCTTCAACAAAAACTGATCTGGAGCTTTAGGAGCCATCAGAAGCGAACTTAGAGAGTGAATCTGCCTGTTCATTTTCAGCTCGAGGTATTTTGCTTAAACAAAATTTATGGAATTTGGACTTCAGCTCGGCCACCAGGGCTACATATTTGACCATGATGGAGTCAACCACCTCGTAGACTGAATTGACCTAATTAACCACAAGTTATGAATCACTATATACTTGTATTGCTGTGACTTTCAGCTCCAATGCCAGTTGCAAGCCAAGTAATAGAGCTTCATATTCAGCCATATTATTAGTTGCATCAAAATTGAATTTTAAAGCATGCTCACTTCGATATCCATTTGGAACCAAGTAGGATTGCACCAGCTTTAGAGCCTTTGTTACTTGACGGTCCATCAACATACAAAATCTAGCTATCTGGCTCGGGGTTAGAATTTGATTGAGCCGAGGTGCATTCCATGATAAAATCTACAAGTGCTTGAGCTTGGATTGCTGACCTCTGTTGAAATGTTATCTCAAATTCCTCCAGTTCAACTGCTCATTTGATTAATCTTCCTGAACACTCTAGCCTTTATAAGATTTACTGAAGAGGTTGATCTGTAAGAACGATAATCAGGTGTGATTGGAAATATGGTCTTTGCTTCCTAGCCGAGGTGACAACTACTAATGCTGCTTTCTCAGCAATAGCATACCTTAACTCTACTCCGTGTAATACACAGCTAGTATAGTAAAATGGTTTCTGCTGTTATAGTAATCTGCTGTTATAGTAAACTGGTTTCTGCTATTTCCCTTCTTCTCTTACCAACACAAAATTGATTACTTCATTTGAAATGCCGAGGTATAGATAAAGGATCTCTCCATTAATAGCTTTTGTCAGCAAAGGAGGTGAGCTAAGATAAGACTTCAATTCATCGAAGGGAGCTTAGCATTCTGAATTCCATTCAAACTTCTTCTGCTTGCCAGATTCATCTTTCTGGAGCTGCTGATCTCATGATCTTGAAGAATGGTAGACATTTATCTACTGACTTCGATATGAATATGTGGAGTGCTGCCACTCTCCCTGTTAACCTCTATACATCCTTTATTGACTTCGGCTGCTCCATCTCGGCTACTACTTTAATCTTCTCTGGGTTAATCTCAATCCCCCTCTTGGATACCATGAAGCCTAGAAATTTTCCAAACTCCACCCTAAAGATGCACTTTGTTGGGTTTAATCGCATTCTGTTCTTTTTTAAGTTGTTGAATGTCTCATCGAGATCAGCCAAATGATCTTCTGCTTTCATGCTTTTCACCACGATGTCATCAACATAAATTTCCAGATTCCTGCCTATTTAAGCTCAGAATATGATAGTTATCATCTTTTGGTATGTGGCACCTTCATTCTTTAAGCCAAAGGGCATCATGACATGGTAATAAATTTCATCACCTATATAGAACGAGGTCTTCTTTTCATCCTCAGGAGCCATCGGGACTTGGTGATAACCGGAATATGCATCTAAAAGATTTAGTCTCTCATTTTCAAAAGCCGCTTCAACCAATTTATCAATGTTCGGCATTGGATAATAGTCTTTGAGACAAGCTTGGTTGAGATTTGTATAATCGATGCACATTCGCCATTTACTATTTGCTTTCTTGACCAACACTGGGTTGGCTACCAACTCACAATAATCAACTCTTCTAACAAAATCAGCTTGTAGGAGTTTCTCTACCTCTTCCTTTATCACCTTA